AATTTCTCAGCTGAAGGTGCCAGCTTTCAATGGCAGTTGTTTCGGGAGTGCTGTCTTAATTTGGGAGTATTTTTTGTGATTCTATATGTGGTAGGAGGGGAGGGTTTGGATTTTACTGGCCAACCAACTATAATTATAATCTTTTCTTTGATATAAAGCTATCAGTTTCTTAACTATATTAAAAACCCATTTTAATTACCCCTCTTCTTAACAAGACCACTTCATAACTTACTGAAATGCTTTACTACACAGGACAGCATTATAATGAAGGTGAAGTGTATGTGAAACATTTGACTTTGAATGGCATAGTTTTGCAGATTTGTGACTTTGGATGCCAGAATTTCAATTAGGAGGACGATTGCTAAGTACTTTTATTTAAGGGCTGATGAGCCCCTACTAAGGTCATGGAATGAATGGCACTAACCTGAGAAAGCACTTTGTACATTATGGTCTACTTTTTCTTACAATAAAGAGTTCTTTTAATAATACTGTAGCAAAGTGTCTCCAATGCTACCACAGAAAAGTGGCAAGCATATTTGAGATATATGGGAAACCATGAAAAGGCGACTGAAAAGTTATAATACATGAGCAAAAAGGTTTGAAATATTGATGCCTTTAAAGATGGGCTCATTCTTAGATATGAGAAGTATTACTATTTCTCACTTGACATATTAACTACACTGCTGACATACTGTATTTTAGACAAAGCTCCCTGTTAATACAGCACAGACTTTTATGTACTATTTGTTCACCTAATCTAACATGCATCAGACCTTGGATGTATGTTGTCTGTGGAATAACAAAGATTGTGATAATACAAAATGGTTGATCATAGATTTAAACTGGCATTTAGTTTACTCTGACAATAACCTGTAAATAGCTCTATAGACACACATACACAAAAATAAAGCAGACAGTTGTTTTGTTTACCATATTTTGCACTGACTGGAGTTTAGAAATACGCACTTCAATTGGCTAAAAAAGCAGCAGTTAAAATATTCTGTTTTGCATTAAATATACTGTATAAGGTAATCCCTCCCTGGCCTCTTATTCTCCCCCAAGTGCAGCGATTGTCAAACAATAACAACAAAAGGAAGCAGCAGCTATATTTGTAAATGTTAACAAAAGCTAAACATGGGGTTTTGCTATGGTAAGAAAATGCCACCCTCCCCTTCTCCATAAATTGGGCTTCTAGGAAGCAATCCCTCCCCCAAGAAACGGCTTGTGGGGAGGGCAAAGCAACCAGCTGGGTTGTAGGAGTAATAAAGAAGGAGAATCAATAGGGCATGCAATGGAGCCAAGGTGCTGCCATTTATCACGCCGCTTCTCTGACTCCAATCATTCATCATGCTCAATGAGGCAGCAAATAGGAAAATGACTATTTGTATCAAACACATCTGCACTCATCCACTGAGGTATTTTATTCCCATTAACTCTGAAAGTAAAATACGCAGAGTTTTCTAGCTTCTTTCAGCTCAGGTTGGCAGAAGAAATTCACAGCACACAGGAACACAAATGACTGCGTGAGTTTGCAGAACATTTTTGGAGGTGATTTTTAGTGACTACAGTCATATTGCTTACACATGTGTGTGTATATAATATACGCACAGGTACATATATAATTATATTATATATACACACACACATTTCCAATTTTCAGGATATTATCATATCACACCAATCTAAAACTCACTAGCCAGCATCTTCTTTCCCCCAGTGATATGAATATCATCAAGGCTACAGTAAATACTCATTACATTATCTCTCAATGGTTCCCTTTTTATCTAATAAATTACCCCTGCTAGGTGGCATGGAAGCTAATTTCACTAAGTCTGTGGAAGATCAGATGTAAATGGGAGGATTATCATCATTATGGTGTAATATCCCATGAAATGGTAGCATCATTACTGGTTCTTTTTATGAGGTGTGCAAGTTTATTTCAACCTGCAAACGTGCTCTCGTGGCCTTCATCGGGACAGAGAGCCAGGCTGTGTCATATAAAGACCCTCCAGCTTTCCTGGCATGCTTTCTACAGGGCTTGGAGGGAGGAGCTTGTGTCTAGATAGAGGTGACACTAGAAAGATCTGCAAAACTTTGAAGCTGAGTGATGCCACTTAGGTTGTTAGCAAAGATTGTGTGGCTGTTCAAACCTCCCCCTCCACACACACACACACATCATAAAACCTAGCTCAGTGGCTCTCAACCTTTCCAGACTACTGTACCCCTTTCAGGAGTCTGATTTGTCTTGCATACCCCAAGTTTCACCTCACTTAAAAACTACTTGGTTACAAAACCAGACATCAAAATGCAAAAGAGTTACAGCACACTATTACTGAAAAATTGCTTACTTTCTTATGTTTACCATATAATTACAAAATATATCAATTGGAATATGAATATTGTACTTACATTTCAGTGTGATGCTTGGGCCTGTTTTTCACTTGTGAGCCTTGTCTGAAACCCGAGCCCTGCCACCCGGAGCTGAAGCATGTAAGTTAGCTTTGTGGGGGCCCCTCTGATGTGGGGCCCCAAGAAATTACCCTGCTTGCCACCCCCTAATGCTGGCCCAGCACTTGTGATTCCCCATAGCCCGTCCCATGGCCCCCCTGGGGGCTGCAACCCTCAGGTTGAGAAACACTGATCTAGATGAGTTGAGTCTGACCTGGAAGACCTCTGCGTACCCCTAGGGGTACACGGTACCTCTGGCTGAGAACCACTGTTCTAGCTGACCTCATTCGCTCCTCATTCTTACTGACTCCTCATGCAATTAAATGAATTTTCCTGCTCATTCTCTGTTTTCCTCACCATGCATGGGAGAGTCTCTCATGAGCAGAGAAATAAATGACAATAGCTGGAATGTCTCCAGAAAGCACTATGAAAAAAAATAATTGCACCAGACTCCAGGCTCAGCAGTGGCCTCAGACTTAAATGGTAGGACATCCAGCTGGGGGCCCAGATTCTAATCCTACCAGCAGATTGTACCTACACGTCAATGTATGTATTTTGGTGTGTGCACCTAATTATGTTAGGAGATGCCTAGTGGTATCCAATGGGGCCTTTGCGCACAGAGAATGACAAACTGTGAACACAGACTCACTGAGGGTGAAATTCAGTCCTGTGCTGAGGGCCAGCTCAGAGCTTATGCTCCATCTAAATCTCATTTAAGCCTTCAGGAATTTCACCCTAAAGCGCTTGATAATGCATGGATATAGCACCCATAATCTCCTGTTCATTGGGTATAACAGGCTAAGTAGTTAGCTCTTGCAGCACCCTATACCACTGGGCATTTAAATTAATGGAGATATCCCATCTCCTAGAACTGGAAGGGACCTTGAAAGGTCATCGAGTCCAGCCCCCTGCCTTCACTAGCAGGACCAAGTACTGATTTTGCCCCAGATCCCTAAGTGGCCCCCTCAAGGATTGAACTCACAACCCTGGGTTTAGCAGGCCAATGCTCAAACCACTGAGCTATCCCTCGGAAAAGGCAGATTTATGGGCTTCTTGAGTATTTTTCAAATAGTTCATTTTTCATTTAAAAAAATCTGATAACATGTGAAACCTTTAGAGAGAAGAGAGTTGAGATAGCATCTAAAAGACTTACTTATCCATTTAATGCTTGTTTGGCTATGAACTAAGGATTTCTAATTTATTGCTACAGAAAGCTAATATGATTACCTTGAAAAGATGATTTGGGGCTTCCCTTCCAAATGTAACTCCATGGCTCCCCAGTCACTCAGTTCAAAATTCTCCTCGTTTTTAGACCCTTCCATGGGCTTGGCTTTGCCTGACTCCAGCACCTTGTCTCATTCCTCCTGCCTAGCACCAGCCTGCTCTCTGTCCTTTCACACAGTCTGACCACTGCTGGCGTGAGAGTCTTCTCCTTTGCAGCTCCTGCAGCCTGGATATAACCTCCCTCATCAGTTTGCCATCCAATTTCAAATCTGTTTGTTTTAGGGTTTCATACTGCAGAAGAAAACATATCTTTTCTCCTTTGCCCATCTCTCAGTTTTTCTCTCCTTCTGCTGTTTTTGCTTTGGGACATTTGGGGATTACATGCATCATCTGGGGATATTCCATTCTAATTAGCCATAGACTGTACCCTTATTCTGTAATTAGGGTGACAAGACAGAAAGTGTGAAAAATCAGGACACTTTTTTTTTTCAGGGGGATATATTTGCGTTTATAAGACAAAGCCCCTAATGTCAGGACGACTGGTCACCCTAGCTGTAATGTACAGTGTTTGATTCTTTTTATTGGAGGAGGGAGGGGTAAGAGAATGTGTGGTAGAGGAGATGGAATAGTGAGGGCGTGATGATGTGCTCCCTTTCCACACAGTCTTTTTTTCTTCTTCTCCAGTTGCCCCCCGTACCAATGGTAAAAGTGGGAAATGCGTGCATATTAGGTGGGCAGTAGGGAGGTGAACTCACCCATTACCCACTTCAGTCTGAGCACTATATACAGTGTAATAGAGTTTCATAAAGTTACACTGGGTTAAATTATTTTGGAGACAGTTGTGTATTACTGTAAAGTCTTTAAACACCTTATTTAAGCGATATGCTGTCACCATTATTCTCAGGTGAAAAACATTTGGCAAAAACTGTAAACCAGGAACTTTTTAGCAGAAATAGCTCAATTCCATTCAAGTCATTTTCATATAATAAAAACATTTTGAGGTTGTTTTTTATACATCTATTCCCCCTACTGGTGATATTTATTTGTATTTGGGTAAAAAAATGTTTTTGGCAATAGAAAGAGAAGATGGAATTGGGCTTCTTTGTTTTAAAATGTTTGTAGTGTTCTTTCAGGGGACTGAAGGGTACATGCAGTTTAGGAGACTTAGAAATAAAGGTAAAGATGATGGGCTAGGGTTGTGCATCAGCAAGGAGGTAAACTGTAAAGAAATATGAAGTGATAAAATGGACAAAACACAGGTTTTTTTGCCTTCCTCTGCAAGATGTAGGTGCGGGACACTTGCCAGGATTATCTGGGTATATCTCAGTTAATCATTGCCTTGCCACTGTAGGCACCTCGAGCACTGGTGCACCTTTGGGTTCTCCTGTTCTCTGCCTGTGGCACATTATCATCTAGTCTCCTGTGGGTCTCATTTACTTTGGTCTCATCTCCAGTGTTGGGTTTAATATGTGGGTGCTGGGTGGTGTTGGTGGCCTGGGATATATGGAAGTGTCAGACTAGATGATCAGGCCCTTCAGGCCTTAAACCTAGAAAGTCAAACCCTATAATGCAGCTACAAATACTGGGCATGATTTTGTGCCCATTGAAGTCAATGACAAATTCACACTGACTTCAGTGGGAGCAGGAGCTGGCCCATTATCTATGTATTTCTGTTCTCATATAGTCTGAAGCAACACCCTCTGCCCCTGTTAACTTTGGGTGACATTTACCTCTGACATTCACATGGCTTATGGACTACTTAAGTCTCACTTCTGTCCTGTTTTGAACACTTAAGTAATGCATAGGCCTTGTCCCGGTAGTCCGCACAGGAATGAATTCTACTCTTCACAGAGGTGAACAGTCCCACTAAGTCAGCTAAGTATGATGAGCAGGATTTGGTCCAAAAAGTGTTGCAGTTCAAAATGTTGATCTGAAAAAAAAATCAACTTTGTATTTTAAGTAGTGCGTGTAAGTTAAAAGATTCATATAGAGAGAATTATTTTAGTTGTACATTTAATTAAGGCTGGGACAAAATTCACCCCCTTTCAATGTCTTCGAAGACTAGACCTTGGTGAACATTGCAAAAAAATAATAATAATAATAATAATAAAATCTGTGACTACTCACTTGACTTTTTAATTGAAATTTCTTTGGCTATTCCTGCTTCTCTTTTGCATTCACTTTCCATTAACATTTGTCAAATTAATTTTACTAGCATGAATTTTTCATGCAAATAAATTTCCAAAGTTGCCTGAATAAGTATTTGTGGAGACTGATATTAAAGTTTGCATTTGCATGTATCCACAGAAGTATCTACATGCTCATCTAATGAGAGAACAAAAATAATACAATGTTACTTGTTAGACTAATCACAACTGACCAATACAGCATGAATATGGAATATTAGCGAACTGTTCACACGCAGCATGGAGTTTTAAAAAATTATCTCACACACACACACACACAACTCAAGTAATTACATATACTGAATAAATCTAATATAACTATCATCTACTAGTGCATGTTCCATGATCAGTAAAAGACTTCAAGTTCAACTGATAAATTATTTGTTGCTAATTATTTGCTCAGTTCTCTTCTCCAGACATAGGCCGTAAGGTTCATCAAGGAAACTAGTACAGCTCTGTGAATATACAGGGTCAACCTTAAAGGAAACCTGCAGATAGAAAAGACATTAGGCTTGCTCATTTTTGTTGTTGTTTCTTCATAATGTGTAAAGAGAGGTTTTTGCTTTCTTTTTAAAAAAATGTTTTCTGCTCCTTTCTTAAATTAGAAATTCAGGTTCTGCCTAGCCCAGGAGACTGTAGAATAAGTGAAGAACTAGTGAAATGATGAAGTCACAAAAGAAAGACAGTGAAAGTTGAGCAATTGGCAAGGGAAAGAAGTTTTAGTCAGATTGTTTTAAAATCTGCTTACGGTTGGCTCTTGCTAACATCTGTTTAAACTGCAGGGGCTGATTGACATTTTGAAGAAAGGACAGCTTTGTTACAGATCTCACCCCTTTAATTAAGGTGTGGAAGCTAACATTATATCCCATCAGACACCCTTCCCCAAAACAAGTAATCCAGCAATACCAGGGAAGACCAGAATTTAAGTTTCTGATATTTCTAAAGTATAAATAAGAAAAAACTGGTGGTGGTGGGGGGGGGGAACTTTTACAAAACCACCTTTCGGGCCTTCTATATGCATAAAAAAGATAACGAGACCGAGAAAAAGGAGGGGTAGGGGAATGTGCCCAATTCAATTATTTTAAATTCCTTTGCACATCACCTTTAACTCAGCCTCTGCTTTTGTACTCCCACTTTTGCAGGTGCAGATATTTGGTGTCATTTTATCTGGAGATTTCACTACCTTGATTGTGCCCACATCCACATAGCTGCTAATTAGACATTGTGCCCGTAGCTTTTTGCTTCTGGAAATTGCAGGTGCACAAAAGCAGTTTTGGTCTAGAAATCTGGCCCAGGCCCACATGATATCCCATGAGGCCAGACACCTCAAAACAGGATGCAGTAGCAGATGTAGTATTTAAAACAAAACAAACAAACAAAATTAGGGGACCCAAAAATTAATGCCACCCAGTTTTAAGGCTACAGCGGTACTCCTGCATCCTGGGGTCAGGATATGACATATTGGGCCTTTTAAAAAGTCATAGACTCTCTTCCTGAGAAGCCATAAGTATTGTTTTCCCCAGAAGAAATTTCCCTCAGCATTTGTATTCTGCTACTTTCTCCTGACATGCCACAAGACTGGTTCTTTCTTCTCACCTCTGTGGAATTGCAGGGCCAGCTCCACCGCACTTTCATTTCTGCCTCCATTTATTCCCTTCTCCATTAGCTTTCCTCACCTCAAACATCATTTTAAGTATTACCAATTAGTATTTTTTTCAAAATTTATAAAAATTTCCCACTGGTGGGGTGCACGGTGAGACCATGTATTGCCCATCCCTACACCTACCCTTCAACGGAATCATGGAGGACAACTTTAGACCACTGAGAAAGGTATATATAAATGCTTTGCACAATTGAGGCCCTAATCTGCCTTTTTTCCCAACGCAGATAATTACTACATGTACATAAGATGCAGCCAAATTGTATCCTGCATCATTGTCTTGTTATTGAAGATATAATTTTATCATAATCTTCTCATGTGAACACTCCTTAGTCAGATGGATACTCCCATTGACATCTGTGGGATGACTCGTGTGCGTAAGGATTCCTTACAGGAAGTGTTGCAGGACTGAGCCATTGGTCTGTTCCATAGGTGTAGTTTGACTCCTATATTGGGGGTGAGCAGCTCCAGTTAGGCCAATGTGGCTGCATGGGAGTCTTACTACTTTTTGCACTTCATTTTTCCAGGAATCAGTATGCAAAATAAGAACCTCCCAGGATCTCATTTTCTGTCATTTGGAGAAAACATGTCTGATGGGCAGCTGATCTCTGTTTCCCCCACAACAAGAAACTGAATAAGGTGACTTGAAAACAACCCAAATTTTCAGGTTGCAAGTGACTGTAAGTTGATGCTACTCTGATTTAGCCTTTCTTTTCTCTTCTGCCATATTTCAGTCATAGCTGTAAGCTCAACAGAGACCACATCACATCACCTCCTCCATTTTATCAACCTTGGTAGAGTAAAGAAAATGGTCCACTAGCTCCAGGAAAGGCAGTGCTATCTTGTGATTAGCACTGGATGCTGGGGTTCATATACTTGGAGACCTGGCTTCTATTCCTGACTCTTGACCCTGATTTCCCATTTGACTTTATGCAAGATAAAAGGGAAGCAAATAAATACCCACCTTAATAAGTGCATTGAAGTCTGCAGATTCTGCCTCTTGGCTGGAAAACACACACGTGAAAAATGTAGAAAATGGCATTCTGCACTTTTCCTCCCTAACAAAGCTTCCTGGAAACAAGCCAAAGTTTAGCTATCCAGAGTATTCTACAGTATTGAAAGGTTAAAAGGTTAGTTTATTTCATTTTCAATTACAAACTACACTTCTGCTTAGCATGGCAGTGCCATCTCCTCATTAACACAGTACCAAACAGCAAATTATACTGACAGACACATAGCTATATATTAAATATAACTGCATTCTGGCGCTGGGCATTGTAGACATTTTTAAAAAAAATCTTATAAATAACTTCACTAAGCTAAGCTCCACTCTAAAAAATGCATAAAAATTGGAAGTACAAATGAGTTTGAGCACATAAAAGCTTTTTGCTGCATTTAGCCTGAGATCACATCCTTTAGACACAAGGAAATAAGAAATCGTGATGCTACAATAAATGTGTGTCCACATTGTATTAAAATAAACTGTTTTTGGACACCTTGTGGTCCGCTAACGCAATGTGTGTAAGAAAGTGTGCATAGTGACACAAACAAACAGTTGAACATTGTATTTTATAAATTTACAGTAGCTGATTTCATCATGCTACGCATGGCAAAGAGAGATAACTAATTAACAGAGAATTCCCTATGAAAACATAATTCTAAAACATTTTGGCTTCTCCTTTCAGCAGATGGACTGTAGAAGCAACTACAGGGAAAAAATGAATCAAGCAAATTGAGTGATAGTGTTCTTATTCAACCAGAGATTTTTTTCATTATGTTGATAATAAAATCGAGGGCTAATATTTTCAAAACTAGGAATCTAAAGTTAGGCTCCTAATAAGGAGCCTTATCTTTTTCAAAACTGTGAACACCAAGCAGCTCTGATTTTTTTTTTCCAGGCAAGGGAATGCAGAGACAGAAAATGAAAGTGGTTTGGGGGGGGGGAGGGGGCAGCTGCCACCACTTAGAGGTCTGGAGGAAAATCTTCATGAGATAGTTCATTTAAGCCAATTGATTATGTGTCCAAACATTTGAAGCCAAAAAACATAAATGAGGAAAATCAACCTTTTGTTTCAGCACCATGATTTTATTTATGTAATAAACACACATGCATAGTGTACTATTTGCAGCTACTGAGACAGCCTGGTCCACATACATAGTGTATTGACCGGACATTGGACTGGAAATCAAAAGGCAGGGTGTCTATTCACATTTTGTGTGGCCCTGGGCAAAACACTCAAGGTCTTGCACGCTCCTTCTGATCTACCTGTAGAGGCACCTACATCTCTAGGGTGTATCTCCATGTTATGTTTCCTCTTTCCTCTAACCCTGTGAAAGCTGTTCTTCGTGGAGTTCCATTGCCATGGCAGGGTAGGAGATCCCGCTGGGCTCCTCTCTCAAAACCTGAGGCTGAATTAAACCCTTGCATACAATAGAACCTCCTTTAAGGAGGGTTCTGGGGAGAGTTGCGGTAGGGGAAGCCCTGGAACATGGCTCCTTCAAATGTCACGTTGTCCAAGGGAAGGCTGGAACTGATGGGGACAAGTGGCAAAACAGAGGCAAGGGGCATCCATGCAGATGCACCTTCCCACCTGTTGAGCTTCTGAGCTCAGGGGATGGATCCTCTGGTTTCTCTGAGATGGAGAAGAGAAAGGCAAATGGCCCCTTAATGGAAGCATTTAAAGGAAATTTCATGAGTTTCACTTCCCCTACACAAGTTGTTCCTTGATAGGGGAGAATAGGACCTTTAAACTCTCTATACCCTAGTTTCACCATCTATAAAAATGAGGATAAGGCTACTTACCTTAAAAGAAATTGTGCTCAGTATTATTGTTTATTATTTATTAGTTATTGTTATGAGTATTATTTATTTAATTTATTTATTTGCAGAAAGAGTAAAAGTATTTCCGGATTGTAGGCACCGTGATCTGAGTGATTTGGCAAAGTCTGAAAGGGTCATTTGAATGAGCAAAAGGAATTCTCATTAAGGGCCTTACCAAATTCGCAGTCCATTTTGGTCACTTTCATGGTCATAAGATTTTTAAAATTGTAAATTTCATGATTTCAGCTATTTAAATTTGAAATTTCACGGTGTTGTAATTGTAGGGGTCCTTACCCAAAAGGCAGTTGTGCAGGGGGTTGCAAGGTTATTATAGGGGGGGGTCACGGTACCGCGACCCTTACTTCTGTGCTGCTGTCGGTAGCGGCACTGCCTTCAGAGCTGGGCAGCTGGAGAGCAGGGGCTGCTGGCCAGGAGCCCAGCTCTGAAGGCAGAGCCGCTGCCAGCAGCAGCAGCGCAGAAGTAAGGATGGCATGGTACGGTATTGCTCCCCTTATTTCTGTGCTGCTGCCTGCAGAGCTGGGCCCTCAGGCAGTAGCCACCATTCTCTGGCCGCCCAGCTCTGAAAGCAGCAGCGCAGAAGTAAGGGTGGCATGGCTACCCTTACTTCTGCACTGCTGCTGGTAGGGCGCTGCGAAGGCAGTGCAGAAGTAGGGGTATCAATACCGTGACCCCCCTAAAATAACCTTGTGACTCCCCTGCAACTCACTTTTGGGTCAGGACCCCCAGTTTGATAAACTCTGATCTCCCCCATGAAATCTGTATAATATAAGGTAAAAGCAAAAAAAGATCAATTTTCACAGGGGGAGACCAGATTTCACAGGCCATGATGCATTTTTCATGGCCATGGATTTGGTAGGGCCCTACTCATTATATATGTCATTATCCTGTAGCAACCCCATACAATAACTGTAACTATGATTATGATTAAGACATTTTAGTATTTCTGGTCCCAGATTAAGTTAAACAGATTTTTAAAGACCTATTCTTCAATTTTTTTCCTCATGGTGTCAGTACAGGGCAGAGCAAAGGTTGTTTGAGTGCTCTAGTCATGCATTTCCATGCATGTATTTATATCTGGGTTTTTAACATGCTTGGTTTGGGGACAGTTATAACATCGCTGTAATGTAGTTTACTCTAAATTACTGATATATATTTTCAACCTTACCTCCATTTTAACATAGATTTTTTTTTGGTGAGATTTCCTTTGTGTATTATTTTATTAAAAATTCCATTTGCTTAACATTTAACAAGAAGCTCAGAGAAAATGTTACTATGTATTATTTGAAGATATGACATATAAACCTTAAATCATTCTCTGTTGTTAATTGTTATGGTCAGATTCACCAATGTGCCTGGATGTTTTATGCTTCTGTGGAGCTGCACAATACTGGCCAGTTAAACTGGGTTTATAGCTGTTTTTAAATAGCTATCATCTACATCCCAGTATCCCCAGCCCTCTTGTTCACCAAATTCCTCCTGCCTCTTGCACCTCCTTCTATTCTCCTGCGCACACATCTTAAATTCCTCTTCCCTCCTCTCCTCCATATTTACCTGCACACACCATTCATACTGCTCTCTCTGTTGAGTAAACCTGATGCAGCAGGTTACTTTTGAAAATAAATATTTGGGATTATTGGTCATGTTTTAATTATTTTTCATACCTGAAAGTTTATCCTTCACCAGAGGCTGGCACATGAAATCTTCCCCTCAGATAAGCTCATGGAGAACTGACCCATTTCAAAATGACCTTCTCCCTCTTATGGAAGTTGCTCTTATGGAAGATGGTAGCCGCCTCTGCTGTGAGAAAGTGGAGAGGAATTGTGTAAAGAGCCTCTGAATGGAGACAGCAGCCGTCTTTGCTATGGCCTCATTTCCATTAAGAAGAAAGAGTGACAGATGACCTTCTCAAAATGGCCACCTGTGAACAACTTTGGCCTCAGTCCCACTGATAACAATGGAAGATGACTGCCATTTTGAAAGATTCTTTGTGGAATTTTCTGGAGGAGATCAGACTTTAGCCTTTACTGAAGGAGAATCTTTCAGGTATAAAGTATAGTGTGGAAAAAACGGTGATTACTACTATTAATCTTTTTTCAAATTCTTCCAAATATAGCCTATCCCCATGATTTCAGTGAGTTTTAATTCTGTGGAAAACTTGAAGTGTGTATTACTCTGTTACTATGATAGTTATGAACCAAAAAAAGGGGAGGGTGGCTGACTCTGGTGCTATTTTTTTAAATGACTCATATTTAATATATTTTAATTTCTAAGCTGTTTAACAGATTTACTTGTAAATTCTCAGAAAATTAATTCTATACTCAGAGTAAGTGCTATAATTTTGGGGAGAATACACAGTATTTTTCACGCATAACAAAGAGGCTGATTTTCTGCTTTAAGTGCAGAATGCAACTCCGCTTTAACTATGGAGCCACAAATGGTACTTCCATAATAGTGTGTGTGCGTGCGCGTGTGCTCCCATATGTGCACATGCAGTCTTACAATTCTTTTGCAGATAAAATTATCATGGACTTTAGAGATAATTTTGGGTAAGAATTGCATGATTGGGTCTATAATCTGATTTTGTTGAAATATGAGTATTGGACTTTAGTGCCATTTTTGCTCTTTTGAATTATAGTTGTTTTTTTTCTGATTTAAGTTTTGAGTGTATGCTCTTGTACATTGTATATGTATTAAGTGGTTAATCCTGTAACCCTAACTCATATGAGTTACTCTTTCTCGCACCAGTAGGATCAATTGGAGTATTCCTCAAAGTAAGAATTATTTACATAACATTAGTAAAGTTTTACAGAATGGGACCCCATGTTTGAAAATATTAACTTGTATATTGCTATAGTTTTCCTAAAATAATTAATAAAATATAAAAAAAATCAAACATGCAGGGACTTTGTAGATTACTCTTAGAATTTCTATAAGGATTTATAGCTCAGTTCTTATAAATGTTCTCACATTGCTGTGTATTTTGGACACAGCTTATCTGTACATACATAAGCGGAAGAACTGATTGTTTTCAAAGACATCTTGATGCCTATATATCTATTTTCTTTGCTATTCCAGGTATAGCAGAGAGGCTTACTTTCAAAAATCTGCAAATACAGCTGTTTGAAGGCTGTAGTACATTAAATATTACTTGAGTGCATCAGCAGACAGAGGCCAGAAATACTTTGAGACTTCTCTGTAAAATAATAATACATATTTAACCATGTTTTAAAAGTGATTAGCTCAAACCATTTTGGAAAAGACCTTCCTAAAATTTCTTATGGTTCACTACTCCTCACTCCTACTCTACAAAAACACAGCATAAAGTGAAAAACATCTTAGTAGTTAATAAGTGGGAGGTCACATTACACAAATATTTCTATGTAGTGAATCCACTATCTTTATAACACCCCCGTGGAGCCATACCCTGCACTCCTTATTTAGTAAAGGCTATGGGAGCAGATACCATACTCAGAGGTTGTATTATAACAAAGGTAATTCTAATGGAGGTTATCCTAGTTTGGTTGCAAGGTGACTGAATGCATATGTAAAAGTCTATATTCTTGCATTTAGAGAGTTGGGAGAGAGTTCAGCCTAAGACAGTGCACTCCAGTCATGCTATAAGGCAGCATCTTAAATATTCATATTGCTCCTGTGAGCTTTACCTCCTTGGTGAGCTTCACAAAGTTTATATAACAGTTGCTGAGAACTGTGGTAAATAACTAGAGATGATGCAGCAGCCAAGTCACAAAATGATGTTTTAAAAGCTTAGACATAAAAATATCATGGGAGAGGAAGCACCTTTTTCTGATTTTAGACTCTCTTCACCAGTTGTAACTGAAATATGTTTTTTGGGGGGCACTGTTTTAAAGTGATATTTTACAGGCTTCCATTCCATATTCTACAATAGACTTTCTACAAGCTTGGGCCCCAATCCTGCAAAGTTACTTCAGTTGGTTTTCTGTAGTAGTTGAGAATATGCTATTTATGCTTTGAAACTCTGTATCTGTAAAATACTTCTGCATATTAAATATTGCTGATCCTGTGTAATTCCAGAATTGAGACTGAGTAGAGATTTACAAGGTCCAAGTCTACTGGATACACCATTTACATTTAGTATCCCAATAATCTGTAGTACATTAAATAGATGCTTGCCTTTCCGTCCTGAATGACTGACAAACTCATTGTAGCCTCTCAAATAAATAAGCCTCTTAGAATCTTCCATTAAAAGAGACATGATGACATATAGTACAAAAACTATATTTCAGTTAAAAGCAATAGTTGTCCACATCATGAGAAAAAGGAAGGTAATTCAGCAAGAAGGCTTATAGACCACCTTTAATTTAAACATATACCCCTCTGTATAGTCAGGTGTGACATAAAGACAGCACAACCGTGGGGATCTGATCTTACATTCCTTGACCACACAAGACTTGTTAACTTTGGTAGGAGTTTAAGATGCAAAGAAAATGTGCAGCATTGGGACTTGAATTGTGAATATTCTTGGGGGGGGGAGGGGTGTTTTTTGTTTTTGTTTGGTTGGTTGGTTTTTGATTTGTTTTGTTTTGTTTTGTTTTGTTTTGCATTTGTGTCCTAACTCATTTTTAGTTAAAATGTCGTCTTGGTATCTCAGATACATCATCTTGCTCCAGTTGAAGTCAATGGAGTTTTGAAATTGACTTCAAGCAACATGGGTCCAAATATGGCTATTCTTTTTAAAGGTAGGTAAATGTTCTTTTTAATTAGAATGTAATTGAAATATATGGGAGGAAATAAACTAAAGAGGAACATAAAACAAAAGAGAGGAAAAATTGGAGAGAGGAGTAGAAAAGGGAAGACTAAACATAAGAGAGGCAGAAAGTAACAAAGCTGGGCTACAACACCTGGCCTGAGCACTAGAAGAGAGGAGCTATTAAAAACTCCTATTTCACTGAGGTGCCAGGCAGTTCATATCACACTACTGGAGATCCCATTATCAACTTTGTCTCCAGGAGTTCCTATCTTGAATATCAAAATTCACTCGGACCTGAAGCTTGTCTTCTACCTTAATAAACAAGCAGGGAACAAAGGGCTTTGGAGTTAAAACCAACTTGTGGTGTTTTTTGTTTGTTTGTAACTAAAAGTTGCAGCTCGCTAGCCCATAACGGGCTCTGATGATGATTATGATGAGCAGCAGTTGCAACAGATTTTCAAAACAGCAGAAATAAAAGTCGTCCTTTTGCATAAATAGTGTATTACAACAACGAATTGACTTTTTTTTACCATGCTAATATAGGACCGGATCTTGCCAGTTGTTATACGCCCACAACTCCAATAGTAGTTAATAGGAACTAGGAACTAAGGGTGCTTAGTTCATTGCAGAGTCATTGCACTTGGGCTACTGCATTGGCTATGTGTTTCTCTTTGGGATAAACAGATTCTTTTTTAAACGACCTCTGTATATTTTAAAGACTATACTACATCCGGAAGGAATCTATAGTTCATCCGAACACTCCATCCTTAGCTCATTACACCTTTGTCTGTGTTATGTACCTTTTTAATGGAAGTTATGGATGGAGTGAGGTTTAATTTAAAGCCGCAAGCTTTTGATCAAGTGCTTTATTTTATGCTATTAAAATATTGTTGTGGCACAGCCTGGATGTTTAACTTTTAACAAGGCTCGTGTTATTAAACTGGGTGGGAAGCAGCTTTGCCTAGTGATTTATAGAATTTAAGTTAAATTCTAACACGGGGATATTTTAATTACTTTTTCATAACAACCCCATGCACTAGAACACGGTTCAAAACACACAGCTCTTGTTTAGCTGTTTGGTTCCTATGGTAGAATAGCACAATCCGAGGTGCTATCCAAAAATAATCTCAACTTTTTTCTTATTCCAAATTCTGCTGCCATCTTCACGCAGGCAAAACTCGACTTTAATTCTGTTGCGAGTTTTACCTGCGCATGGATCGGGCCCCTAAAAGGGATAAATACAGTAGGGATGGAAAATGTGGACACGGGAAAGAATTGAGCGGTGAGATCGAAAAGCCACAAGAGCAGGTTAAATGTAAACATAAGTGGAATAATGACATCGTCCTCACCCTTCACACAAAATAAGGAAAAGAAAATTAAACCAAACACTGAGCAGTAATTCCACGTACCTGCCCATTCATTGTGTACGTTGTATTATTTAATGGAGAGTCTATCCCGAGCCCAGCACAATTGGCTTTAGAAGCCAAACACAAATACTGTATGAAAGGGAGCTGAATGTATTTTGACCTTTACTGAAAACGCACTGTGGAACAAAGCACTTCAGCATTTGGAGTCTGTTCCAGCTTCCCATGATACACGTCGATGGAGGTGGGGGAAGTGCTAACCAACTGAAGTTACAGTCGAGAGCTGAAGTGTGTAAAAGTGTGTAGTGGAAGAGCTCATATTCCCCTTTCACTATCTGCAACTGTTGTGAACTCATTTGCTCGACCTGTGCAGAGCGAAGGTTTATGAAAAATAGGCGTTAAAGGCATTATGAGCTTAAAGGAGAAAATCCAGCGTGGTGGACGTTGCGTTTCCTCTGACTGCCTTGCTAAAAATCAAGGAAATCTGCAATAAAACTGAATTGAATGGCCAGCTCTTTAGATGGTCCTATATTCTCCCATCAGTTGCCGGGAAGATATTTTATGTGAATGTTTTCTGTTCTAATCGTTCAATTCCTCCTGAAACTGGCAGCTTTCTGTTTCCAAACGCAGAGGAAACTTTCTTTAAAAGTGTGCGTTTGTGTCCTAAACACGAATGAAACAGTAGCCCTACGAAATATGTGTTTCTCTGTCATTTTCACAAGAGCTCCCATTTTAAATCACCAGGAGCTATTTCCCTGATCTGAATTCCAGTGTCAGCGAGTCGAGATGTTAACTACCGCGAAAGCACGAGACTTTTAAAACCCCTGGTGCATGATGAATAAGGGCCGAGCAAGCATCTTAAAATCTATGCTTTTGCTTCTCTTTTAAACACTTTAAATTGACAGCGCAATAGATCAGGCACTTTTGGGGGGAGGGATAGCTCAGTGGTTTGAGCATTGGCCTGCTAAACCCAGCATTGTGAGTTCAATCCTTGAGGGGGCCACTTAGGGATCTGGGGCAAAATCAGTACTTGGTCCTGCTAGTGAAGGCAGGGGGCTGGACATGATGACCTTTCAAGGTCCCTTCCAGTTCTAGGAGATGGGATATCTCCATTAATTTTTTTTTTCCTGAAAGGAGAAGCTTTGGCACGGTAATTTAAACAAGCGCACCCTTATCACCATCTCACACTCCACATTCACCCCTTCCACCTGTGCATTGGGCCCATTTCTCATCTGGTACGTGGGTGGGAGAGGGACACAGGTTCCACCGCAGCTGCTTTCTAGGAGGGGACGCGGTACTCGCCCTCCCGCCCCCGGCGGGGAGTCTGCACGCTCTGCACCCCTGCAGCCAGCAGACTAGCGGCTTGCAATAGCGCATGCGCAGCGGCTGCTGTTGCTGATGCTCTTCTTCCCTCCCCCCTCCCTTCCCCTCCTCAGGTCTCCCCTCCGTGTGGAGAAGTTGGCGCGCTGCCCATTCAGGCATTCAGCGCCAGCCCCTCAGGGATCAGCAAGCAAAGTCACAGTCTGCACAAACAGAGCTTTCAAATTCATAAAATTCATAGGATTTTTCACAAATGAATGAACACAATTTTCTACCAATTTCCTCATTATGCAAATATGCAAAATATCAAATTTAGGCCAATTAGGGTCCTCCACAGTCCCAAATTCACCCGTTTAAGCCATAATTGCAGAAACTATCAAATAATTACGGCCGCTAATTGGAAATATTTGTGACAGATACAACAAATTCTTGCACAAATTACATTTCATTCGAGGAACCACTGCGCGCCACTGAAATTTTATCGAAGTCTAATTTAACTTACATAATGAGTTGAATTGAGTACTTGTTATCAAATTTGAGCAATTCATAGCCCCGTAATG